TCTTTGAGTCAGTGTGGAATCTGCTGGCTCTGTTTTGCAAAGGGCTCTCCATGGAAGATGGAGCAGACTCACCTATTCACTCATCATTAGTAACATTAGAAGGAATGTTACCTCAAGGTCTGAGGAGAGAGTTGAAATTGATTATGCTGCAAATCTGGGATTAGGCTTTAAGGACCAATATGCTGCTTCTTCCTTATTCCACCAATATCTGTATCTAAACTGTGATTGGAATTTAAGTGTAGACTTAAAACTAATTTATTGATGTTAGGAATCCAGATAATGATGCCCTTGGAAATGTTATTGATTATAAAGGGGGACATGGAATGTCTTGGCTGCTGGTCAAATTTCTTTCTGCCATGTGAATATTCCTTTTATGAAGATCTACAGAGACATAGCAGTTATGATTTTACCTCTCTCTACATGTTTGCAATGTTAAAAGTGCATTAAAGTTCTATGTAAAATAACTTAAAAACTTTCAATTGAATTTTTGTGCATTTCATACAATACATCTTGATCATATTTAGATCATCTCCCCTATCTGCAGCCCCGATTGCCCCAACCTGATTTCACACATTCTGTCATATATGTTAAGGCCTATGGAGTTAAGTTTGTGTCTTCAGATGCCCCTGAGTGTGAGCCCATCCACTGAAGCCTTGTCAGCCTATCCAGAGTCAGTCCCTTAAAGACACTTCCTCACCTGGTAGTGATCAGTTACCAATAATAGTTCCTCAGCTAAGGTTGGGGCTTCTTACCATTTTTCCAAGTTTTATACTGGGGTTTTTGTCTGGTTTTAGTTTGCATGGGTCTTATGCATGCTGTCACCATTGCTGTAAGTTCACATGAGCAAGTTCCCAGTCACCTGGAAAATTCTGTTTCTTTGTGGTCATCCACCAACCTTGGCTTTTACAGTCTTTTCTTCCCCTCTTCTGCAATGGTCTCTGAGCCCTGGGCTGGTGAGGTTTAATATAGGAGTCTTATCCAAGGACTTGCACTCTACAGTCTCTTATTCCCTATATTTTGGCGAGTTGTAGCTTTCTGTGTTAATCACTATATGTTGCATGAGGAAGTTTCACTGGTGAATGTTGAGAGATACTTTAATATTCTCTCTGCCCCCTATTTTGCCATGTTCCCTGAGCCTTAGATGTAGAGGTTGCATTCTAAGGTTAGATGTAGAGGTTGCATTAGGGGTGGGCATCTCAGAAACACTTATTTTCTGTGTTTGACCAGTTGTGGATCTCTGTAACAGTGCCCATCTGTTGCATAAGGAAGCTTCTTTGATGAGTAGTGAGCAGTATATTTATCGTTAAATATAAGCGTTCATATTTAGCAATTACATTTGTCTAGGGACGTGACAGACATAGGGGTTTTCTCTAGGATCTATGACCTCTCCAGCCATCTGTATTTGGCTATGTTTATATTACCACATGTGAGTTTCACCCCACTGAGCAGGCCTTCAGTTCAATTAGATAGCCGTTGATTACCCCCAAGATAAAAGTGTCACTACTTCATCAATATAGTTTGTTGCCCTGGTTATTGTATATACAGGTGTGTTGGGCCACTGATTGGTTTTCTTACTTAGCAGCTTACATAATAAACTGACTTTAAAAGAATAGCATTTAGAAACATTCACAAGCATTCCAACTTAAAGCATGTGAGTTTATTTCCAAAAGTGAGTTCATACTGTTCTGAGGCTAGTGGATACTAGAAGGGAGAAGAGGAAATGACACAGGAAACAGAAGGATGAACTTATATGCTGTGAGATTCAGGTTGATGCTCATTCTGGCTAGGTTCTTCTGAATAGAGTACAAGCCCTCCTTGAATTAATACTATTTCCTCAATTCTATTCCCAATCTTCTTTAAAGGTAAGAGAAGTGAGCACCTTGTAGGGAAGACTGCAATTAAGAGTGCTTGTTTGACTCAAAGATAGAGATAGTAAGGGGAAGGTACTTTTTCCAGGTAGCACGCTTTAGAGAAAGTGTGGAGCCAGCTCTCCCATTGGAAGAAAACTATGTGTGTTTCCTTCCAGCATGGTCAGGTTTCTATTGGCTTAGAAGAGACCAATAAACTGGAACTGCCTGGGCACCAGTTGTACAAATGTTTTACGTATTGGGAAAAGGAAGGGCATAGGAAATTCTCCAACTCTTCTGCCCAAAGCCAGTGAGGTATCTTTGTCCCCTCTCCTGCCTGTTCCCTTTTTCATGACACCTGTGCAAGGGGTACCAGAGCAAAGGGGGCAAGCAGCCTTACTTGCTCATGAACAGGTCTCCCGCTTTCCCTCCCCTGGCAAATCCCCAGTCCTTCTGGGTCTCCATCTAGCTTTTGGGGACAATTGAGGCTGATTTCTGTAAAATTGCAAGCTGTCCTCGTAAAGAAATACAAATATGATGGAGTTTCTAGGAAAATGTGTGGGCTTCAGGCCCTCTCACTCCTGTTTCCCACAGCATAGTTATATTCTCAAGTAGAGTTATGTCTATTTCTTCTATACCATTTGAGTCCAAAATTTGAGCAGGAAGAATTCTCCACCCTTCTTGGTGGTCTTGTTGTTGTTTCTTTTAGGGACATCAGTATTAGGTTGATAGCAGTGCACAAAGGGCCTCGGGGGTCTGCCATCCCTGAGGACCCCTGGACTTCTGCTTTATTTCCATAGCATAAATGAGGCTCATTAGTGACAGGCGGGCATTCTCTCTTGTTGGTCTCTGACTCACATCGGATATGGAACCAAATTTCCCTGCAGCAGGCAATCTGCTTCTAGCAACTTTGCAATTACTTGATACTGCTCGCTGAACCAGTCCCTCCTGTCCCACCAGTTTGCCTCAAAGAAAGAGAGATACAGAGAAAAATAAAGTCGTGTCTCCTACTAAAGGTCAGGTTAAAAACAAATTTGAAGTTAGATATAACCACTATTGGAGATGCATTTGTAAAACAACTTGCAGTCTACTTCTACGAGCTTCATCTCCTACAGCCCTATGAGGTGGTAGATATTGCCCCCTCTCACAGATGAGGACTCAAAAATTTGAGCAATGTATTCAGGGCTACATGGCTATTTTCTTGACTTCTTGCTCTTATAGATACTTTGAGGTGAGTAATCAAAAATAGGAAACCAGTTGCGAGGTTAGCATCAAGGTGTGACTCTATTACTGACTGTAGTGCTATATATTGGAAGGGGAGCAGGCATTTAGGAAAGACACATTGAGAGATGCCCAGTGAAGAGGAGTTTCCATGCTTGACAGAGACTCCCTTGCTTCCTGTTTGCTGGAGCTGCTCAGCCAGTCTTCAGAGGTGTCTGTAGAGTCGAGCTGTATGAAAAAGCAGCTGGATATGGCACCAATGCCCAGGTCTATTTTGTCAAACTAACATTCAATGAACTTCCACCTTGAGTTTAGAGACTCTAATGCAATGAAATGGCATATATTTAGCAATCTGGAAGGACCCTAATGACAGATAAATCTCTGATCCAGACGTTTGGTAAAAGTTCTGTAAATATTAACTCATTTACTCTTCATAATACACCCTTAATTATTCCCATGTTCCAGCTGAGATACGTGACACTGAGCAAGACATTTACCCAAGATCTCAGAGATCATAAGTAGAGGAGTCATTTTAGTTTGAACCCACTTTCACTTTAGAGTCTGATAACCTTGATCTAAAATGATAAACAGGCCATCTAGGGGTAAGCTCTTTGTTTCATAGTTAGTGAATTTAGAACTCTGGGTGTTAGGTCATTCTTAGGAGGTCTTTGGTAAAAGAGTTTTTATTTTTTATTTTATTTTATTTATTTATTTTGGTCTTTTTGAGACAGTGTCTCCCTGTAGCTCCAGTTGGCCTGGAACTTGCTATGTAGAACAGGCTGGCCTTGATCTCATAGATATCCACCTGCCTCTACCTCCTGAGTACAGGGATTAAAACCGTGTGCCACCATACCCAACTTTTTCTTTTTTAAGACAGGGCCTTACTATGTCACCCAGATATGTGTCAAACTCATAATCCTCTTACCTCTGCTTTCAAAGCACTAAGGCTACTGACATGCACCACCATGTCTTGTTGGCCAGAGACTTTTCTAAGTACTTCAAATGGACATTAAGAAGTTTTCCTGGGATTGGGGATTTAGCTCAACGGTAGATCACTTACCTAGCAAGTACAAGGCCCTTGGTTTGGTCCTCAGCTACAAAAAAAAAAAAAAAAAAAAAAAAAAAAAAAAAAGAGGGAGAGAGAAAGAAAGCATTAAAGGACAACAGAGTTGAAAGGTATATACTTCCAAATCAACCTCTACCATTGAGTTTCTCATTGTCTAGTTCAACATTGTCTAGTCTGTGACTAATCCCCATATCTATGAATGAGAATTCACCCTCTTACTGGAAAGTAACAGACGGCTTTCCACTGTAGACCCTTGAAAGCACCTCAGATCAAGCACTGAACACATGATGTTTGTTTTCCTGAGTGAAGCTGGTATTAAACATTTCAGGTAAGAAGTTGGATGAGCATGTGGTCAGATTACCCCCACACAGAGAACTGCTCTGATATGAGAGGAGTTTGGGACATAAAAATCAACTCGATAATGGGCAAGTAGCAACAGTAGCTCTTATTTGAGATCCATAAATGTCTAACAATGGAGCTAAGGAGGATCCAGGAACCGGAGCAATTGTATGCTATATTTTAGATCAATGTGTACATGTGTACTTTTTCATTAGCATCTCAAAAGGATCCAGGGCTGAGGTGCGGCTCAGTGGTAGAGCACTTGCCCACAATGCACAAGGACCTGGGTTCAATTACTAACACAGAGAAAGAAAAAGGTCAAAGGATCCATGACCTAAGTGTGATCCATGATTGTAAAGACATTTCATTTAATTATTTGAGTGCATCGATTCTGTGACATCCAATGGCAGAGCATGAAACCACTGGTTTTAGGACTTCTAGAGGTTATCAAGATCTATATAATTCACTCCAGTAATTTTCTTTGCAGAGTTGATTCAAATAAACCCTCTTATTGAATATATTTACAGACTGGATTTTTCCATCTACCACATGGAGACTTTTTCATTGAGCCTGTCAAAAAGCATCCTCTGGCTGAGGGAGGGTACCAACCTCATATCGTATACAGGAGGCAGAAACGGAGAGTTCCAGAGACAAAGGAACCTACCTGCGGATTAAAGGGTAATGTGACTTCAACATCTTTACAGGCTGGAGAATTTGTTCTTTAGATTTCTTTTTAAAACATGACCTCTTCATTCAGGCCCGGTTGGTGTGCATATAATCTATTTCCAGCACTTGGAAGGTTTGAGGCATGAGGATCAGTCTGACCCTGTATTGTTTTTAAATCATCCTCAGAATATCCTAGAAAGAAACAACTCAAAGGCATAATAGCTTTCAACAGTAAGCCATGGTATTACATTAATGCTAACTACTAGCAGATAACTAGCAGTTCATCACACCTGCATATGGAAGGCAGATTTAAAAGTTGATAATGATGTGTGAAGAGGAACTGAAAAACATATCAACACATTATCAGATGATGAATTTAGTGATCCTTCTAGCTACATTCTGTTGGATTGATGTTGACTGAGCCGTGCTCCCACCCTCATGCCCTGGGCAGGATCTGAGCTGCTCTTCTCTGCCTTCTCCTGGATAGTTATTGTTTACATATAAACTGATGCAGCTAATTTCCTTGCAACTTCACATTTTCTTTAATGTATGGGAAATAAAAACTGCATAAAAATTCCTTAAAATTTACTAAAAATTGGGATGCTTCCTCAAATATTCTACTATTATTTTCTTCAGAGGAAAAAAAAATGCCAGAAAGACAGTTAGCAAAAGAAATAATGCTATTTTGTATCTTAAAGATTTGGGAGCCTCAAAGGGAAATAGATAATGAAGAAGTAAAAGAAGGTGAATCCTGAGGTTGGTCAGAGTCATACAGACCTGTAGCTTTCCAGTAGAAGAATAGAGGGCCAAGGGGACAGCTTCCTATGCTTGATAGAAATGTTCCCAGGGGTTCCTTCTATAATCTCAGCAGTGGGTGCAAGTGACAAGAAACTTTTGGATTTGTTGATTTTTTGTGTGTATAAAATCAAATGGCTGCTCTAATTCTTTAAACTTGATAAGTGATTGCGACTTTGTTCTACATAACATAATTTACTGTGTAAATCTTCTAGCAAGTATGAAGAGAAAGGAAGACAGAAATCATCTGGTTGTTTTAATTGCTGAAGGTGCCAATCCACATAACTAATCTTTGTACCTTTTAGGACTCTGACACAAATGCAATCACTGGATAATTATTCAACACCTATTATGCTTTGGGTAATGGAGAATATGTGGGGGGAAGGCTTGATACCTTTCTGACTGACTCTAAGGTTCAGGTTTTCAGTATAGTTGAGAGAATTACTAGTGCAGTGGGTGAATTTGTCTGGACAGTTGGTTCTGTGGGCATAATTGTTGTGTTGAACAAGTTAAGACTATTTCTCATCTACTCATCTAGAACACTTGAACTCCTAGTTGAGGGATAGACTGATTAAAAGCAAACTGAGGATATCAAATGTTTAGCCATGCAAGCTGAAGAGATAGCTAGGAAATCAATGGGATTCACAAATATGGCCCCTATTATGTCACACACAGCAGCACAATTATATTGCTGTCAGACTATTTCATATTGTGCTTTTAGAATGTCCTCAGAACTTTGCACTTCTATAAATCCTCCCGTGACTACTCCCTCCTTAAAATAACCTTTATATTGTGAAATTCTCTATACATTTTCTAAAAGACACTATTTCTCTGTCTTTGAATGGATCACTGTGATGGCAGGAACTTTGAGAGTGCCTAGTGTAGCCTCTTTCAATAAGGCATCAGCTATGGTTCAGAGAAGGGAGACAGTTTTCAAAAGCATCAAACAGGTTAGTATCAGACTCTAGCCAAGTTCACAAGCCATGGTTTTATGCTAGTTCAAGCAGTATGCTGTTCAATAATTCTTTAATTTTTTTTCATTATAAATCTTGTTTCATCATCCATTCCCTCCTCTCTCCTCCCAGACTATGAGGTACAAGATAGGAGATCAGTAAATCATGCAAATGAAACTAACAAAGGTGACTTTGTAGCCAAGAAGAAATCAGAATGTATCAGAATGTTTCTACCCTAGGTAACATTGATAGACAAAAAAAAATGTACTTTTTCTAGATATTGAGAAGGTATTAGTTGTGTGTAACTATCTCTTTTACTGAGAAAATGGTAACTAGAGAGATTCGAGAATAGCTAATGATCTCGTGGACACTTCACATACTCTATAGACATGCAGGATTTTATAGTCTTGGTAGAGTAAAATGGACTTGGTCTTGCTGAACCAGACAAGAGCAGTGTTCTTTAATCCATGTCACCCTGCAGACAGTGGAGTTAACTGTCAGCAGTGCTGTCCTTAGCTGATGTTGAAGTAGCTTCATGCTTACTTAGGTCAACTGATGGTGCAAAACTGAATTATGCTGATTATTAAAAATGGTCACCTTTACCATCAAAGGTGTAAAATTATGCCTGTATAATGTGCTTCAATAGAGAAAATGGGCAAACTACCTTTTAAAATTTTTCCATTCGCTTATTTTATTTTTTACCTAGAAAGGTATCAGGAATTTTTCAACACACCCCGTATGAATATGGCTGTTTCATAATTTCAGGGTTTTGATGTGATGCTATTTTGCCTTTGATTTAATCATTTTAACTATTTTCTTAATCTGTTATGTGAGCTTTGTCTTGTATTTGCTGAGTCCTGCTGTGTATCTTGTTTTCTCTAAGATCAACTTTCTGGAATCTATGCTAAATAATGAGAAATAAATTATTTATTTAATAACCATGTAATTAGAAGAAGCATTTCATTACAACAGCATTGACACATTCAATAACAATTTCCAGAGCTAAGACGCTTGAATTGGCTGTAAATTTTCAGGTTTACAGTACAATTAATACAGTTATACAATATTGTACTCCATATAAACCCTAAAATACAGAAAACTAAATGAGGTTTTAAACTTTAAAAAAGATTTCCATTTCATTATTAAAATACAGTTTCATACAGAAAAATTCATTTTTAATACAATTGACACTACAATGCACATGTGTTACTAATCTCTATATATCTGATTATTACTAGTCACAGTCAGTTACTTTCTGAGCTCTTTGGCATCTGAACATGGATATCAAGTCATTAGGTAGATTTCAATGGTAATGTTTTTCAGATATACTAATTATTAAGGATCAAATTTTTATGCTTTGAAGAATTATTTTTTTTCTTTTTTATTTATATACCCATTTCCCAGGTAGCACCCTCCCATAGCCTCCGTCCCCCCACTAGAGCCCTTATACTCTGATATCCCTGATACTGTCTGCTGTGTTGTTGGCACCGCAACCATTCCCCACTACTTGCCCTTATGGTGAATCTAGTCAGCCTATCTAGAGGCCTTTGTTTTAAGAGAGTCAGCTGTTCCTCATCTACTGGTAATCAGTTTTCAATATTCCTTTGGATAAGATTGGGGTCTGCTGTTCATTTTCCCAGTTCTATGCTGGGTTACTATCTGGGAATCCCTTTGGCCACCCTGGCCAACAACTCAAAAGAAGGTATCACCTGTCTGGCATTGTTGCTTGTTATGTAGCCTTTAGGTATACATATGGACTGTTATGAAATTATATTGGCCCCTTTAATCTTCGGTTATACTTTCCTTTGGGGTGTTTAAGGCCACATAGTTGGCCCAGATAAACCAATTTATTTTTACTCTTAAGGTCGTTTAAAGATCTGTTCCTCAGGGGTCACATGGGGTTGGGAGGAGACCCTGGTTCCTTTCTTTTACCAGTTCCACCTATATGAAGATAAGTCAAAGGTCCTGCATGACCATGGTTGGCTTCACTTGGAAACATGGAGGAAGTGATTCCTTTGTGTTGACCCTCATAGACTGGACACTGGTTCAAGTCTATCTACTGGGGTCATCTTGGCCTCCTTGATCAAGAGAACAAGTGACCCACCACCATTATAGGACATTTTGAGAGATGCTCATAGTCCCTAGTTCCCTGGAACTAGTCGACCTAGGAGGGCAAGGAGCAAAAACTGTCCTTTATGTCCATCTGACCAAATTATTATAGACTTCAAAGTATGTCTGTTAAACACCCAAGAAGGTTAGTTTCACCAGTCTGTTATTTTTAATTACTCTGTGTCACATAGATAAATCTCAGGCAAAGATCAGTTGTTCTCAGATAAACGTTACCTAGACATATATTTCTTGATCTGCTATGTATAATTTGTCAATAGGTTGTAGGAGTAATATGGTTCTCTCTGGTTTTCAAAACTAGCTAGGCATTGTTTATCTCTTGATTGTCTCACCCCTCCATCATGGTTTTCCCACTTAAGGTGCCCCAATTCCCCCCCTTTATCCTTTACTAATAGCCTTCTCCTATGGTCCTATGTCTCTTTAGCTCATTCTTTCCCTTTATCCCCTAGGCTCCTTGTATACCATTCCCTCTCCCCTCCCTTAAACTAACCCAATTTTTATCCATATCTCCCTTATTAAGGCCTGTTTTCTACTGTTCTCTTTCAGTTTATTTTTTTCCTTTACCTCCATGTTTCCTTTCCAATAACCTGGTTCCTGTAGTTATGTCTGGTTGCATACTTATTTATCAGAGTCTGGTTCTAGGATCCACATATGAGGGAGAACATATGTCAATTTTTTTTCTGAGTCTGTGTTAATTCACCTAGTATAACAGTTTCTAGTTCATCCATTTACCTGCAAATTTCATGATTTCATCTTTCTTTACTACTGAGTAAAACTCCATCATATAAATGAACCACATTTTCATTATCCACTCATCAATTGAGGGACACTTAGGTTGCTTCCATCTCTTAGCTATTGTGAAAAGAGCAGCAACAAACATGGATGTACAACTGTCTCTGCAATAGCATGAGTTCTTGGGTATATGCCAAGGAGTGGTATACCTGGGTCCAATGATAGGTTCATTTGTAGTTTTATAAGAGTTATCCACACTGCTTTCCATAGGGGCTGAACAAGTTTGCAGCCCCACCAGCAGTGGATGAGTGTTCCCCTTTCCCCACATCCCCTCCAACATTTGGTATCATTTGTTTTCTTGATCTTAGCCAGTCTGACTGGGGTGAGGTGAAATCTTAAAGTGGT